GTTTGACGATATGGTGGTGGGCAGGGCGAATCGCAAATCAACAGTACAACAGATGGGCCCGACTTGCTGCGACGCGGGAGCCAGGACATCCACGACCAGAAGCAGTCTGCAGACACGGGGGTCGGAGGAAGCGGTGGGAAGACGGTGCCACGCAGTTCCTGAGGTCGAACATGTTTTCTCCAACCTGGCAGCGGACGATGGTTTATCAGGAGGGGAAGATACACACAGACACAATTAATCGTCGATTCCCCCGAAAATATTGGAAAATATGGGAAGTGGGGAGGAAGACAGAAACCCAGAAAATATAGATAGATATTTGGATTCCTGTTATTTGTGTGTATTTATTTGTGTGTCCCAGGGCCCCTTCAGGTTTACACTAGCAGAAGACAGCAACCAACGGAGCAATTTGGAACAAGCGCTCCTACGCCACACGCAGAAGCTACCACGGGTTCCACATATCTGCGACCGAGGGCCACGGCCCGCCCGCGCCAGCCTTCTCCAGGCCCCGCCCCCTGGCGGGCTCGGGCGCGCCCTGCCTGCATTGCTTCCTCCTGCGTGTTCTATCGCGCGAGTTATCTCTTTCTATTTCTCCGTAGCTCTCTCTCTCTCTCTCGTTATTTGTCCCTCTCTCTCTCTGTCTCTCCTCTCTCTCTCTCTCGTTCGCTCTTTTTCTTTATCTCTACATGTATATAGATACATATACATGTATATATACATATATATATATGTTTCATTATCCATGTATATGTGTACAGAGATGTACCTCGCTCTGACTCCCTCATCTCACTCTCTCTCTCTTTCTCTCCCTCGCTCTCTCTCACTCTTCCTCGCTTGTGATATCTCTCCATATCTATATATGTATGTGGGTCCCTCTGTCTGTCGTTCTCTCTCTCTCTCTCTCCCTCCGTCTCTACCGCTCGCTCTCTCTCGCTCTCTCTCTCTCTCTCTCTCCCTCGCTCGGTTTCTATACATATATATATATACACGTGTGTCTGTCTCGTTTCCCTTCCTACATGTTTATCAACATATCTCGCTCTCTCTCTCTCTCTCTCTCTTTCTCGCTCTCTCTCTCTCTCTCTCTCTTTATGTATCTCGTTCTCTCTCTCTCTCTCTCTCTCGTTCCCTCTCTCTCTCTCTCGTTCTCTCTCCACGTACAGTTTGCTCCAGGCGCAGATTCAGATTACATCTCACCACCCCTGGGGGCTGCGGACACCGATACTGTCGCCACGTTCGAGGGCTGCTGGGAGTGCCAGCATAGTGGGTACTTGACGCAGATTCAGACTAGACCTCGCCATCCCGCGGGGGGAAGCTGCGAGCGGCGAAATTGCTGCCACGTTCGAGGGCAGTTGGGCGGGCCAGCGTAGTGGGCACCAGGCGCAGATTCAGATTAGACCTCGCCATCCCCAGGCGGTTGCGAATTGTGTTTTTGTCGCCACATTCAAAGGCTGCGGGGGGGCAGCATGATGGGCACCAGGCGCAGATTCGGATTAGACCTCGCCAGCCCTGGCGGGCTGCGAATGGCCAGCATAGTGGGTACCAGGCGCAGATGTATGGCAGACCTCTCAAGCCTTGGGAAGGCTACGAACAGCGAATATGCTGCCACTTTCGAGGGTTGCTGGCGAGGCCAGCATAATGGGTACCAGGCGCAGATGTATGGCCGACCTCTCAAGCCCTGGGAAGGCTACGAAGAGCGAAATTCCCACCACTCCCGAGGGCTGCTGCGGGGTGGCCAGCATAGTGGTTACCAGGCGCAGATTCAGATTACACCTCACCACCCCTCGGAAGGGCTACGGACAGCGATAGTGATGCCACTTTCGAGGGTTGCTTAAAGGGGGCGGCCTAGTGGGTACCATGCACAAATTCAGATTCGACCTCGCCACCCGTGGGGCTGCGAACTGCGAAACTGCTGCCGCGTTCGAGGGTTGCGGGGGGGGAAGCATAGTGGGTACTAGACGCAGGTTCAGACTAGACCTCACCATCCCTGGGGGGGTGCTGCGGACTGCGTCTTTGTCGCCACGCTCGAGGGCAGCTGGGGGGGCCAGCATAGTGGCTACCAGGCGCAGGTTCAGATTGGTCCTCACCATCCCTGGGGTCTGCGGACAGCGATACTGCTGCCACTTTCGAGGGGGAGCCATCAAAGCGGGTACCAGGTGCAGATTCAGATTAGACCCCGCCAGCTTCGGGGGGGGGGGGTGCGGACTGCGACATTGTCATCATTCTTGAGGGCTGCTGGTGGGGCCAGCATATTGGGTACCAAGCGCATATTCAGATTAGACCTCGCCATCCCTAGGAGCTGCGAACTGCGAAGCTGATGCAACGTGCGAGGGGTGCTGGTGGGTCCAGCATAGTGGCTACCAGGCGCAGATCCAGATTAGACCTCACTATCCCTGGGCAGGGCTGCGAACTGCAATACCGTCGCCACGTTCGAGGGTTGCTGGGGGTGGGGGCAGCACAGAGGGCACCAGGCGCAGATTCAGAGTAAACATCGCCAGCCCTGGCGGGCTGCGAACTGCGAAATTGTTGCCAAGTTCGAGGGCTGCTGGTGGGGGCAGCATAGCGGGTAAGTACCAGGCGCAGATTGACTTGGCCATCCCCGGGGGGGCTGCGAAGTGCGAAATTGTTGTCGCCTTCGAGGGCTGCTATGGAGGCAGCACAGCGGGTACCAGGCGCACGCATATCCAGACTAGACCTCACTACCCCTGTGAGGGGGCTGCGAAGTGCGAAACAGTCGCTACTTTCGAGGGCTGCCAGGCGGGACAGCACAGTGGGTACCAGGCGCAAATTAAGATTAGACCTCGCCAGCCCTCGGAAGCTGCGAACTGCGAAACTGGTGCCACGTTCGAGGGCTGTTGGGGGAGCCAGCATAGTGGGCACCAGGCGAAGATTCAGATTAGACCTCGCCATCCCTGGGGGGCTGCGGACAGCGACACTGTCGCCATTTTCGAGTGCTGCTGGGGGAGCAGCACAGTGGGCACCAGGCGCCTCACCATCCCTGGGGAGGTTGCGAACGGCGAAACTGTCGCCAGTTTCGAGGGCTGCTGGGGTGGCCAGCATAGTGGATACCAGGCGCAGATTCACACTACACCTCGCCATCCCTGAGGGGGGGCTACGAACAGCGAAACTGCCGCCACCTTCGAGGGCAGCCGGGGAGGGCCAGCATAGTGGGTACCAGGCGCAGATTCAGATTAGACCTCGCCATCCCTGGGCAGATGCGAATTGCGAGACTGTCGAAGGCTGCTGGGGGGGGCATGATGGGTACCAGGCGCAGAGAAAGATTAGACCCGACCCGCCGCCGCATTCTCCTCCCCTTTCCCCCTGGATTCCTACAAGGGTTCTGCTTCGTCCCTCTTTCTGGCCGCCTCCCAGGTTTCCGACAGATAAATCGCCCTCGCGCTCCGTGCACCTCCTTCCGACCAGGATCTCGAGATTATGCCCGCCGTGGCGACGAGGCCGTCCAGCAGGAACAACGGTTGCAGATCGTCGGGCCCGAACCCCCGGCGGGCGGGTTGAACGGATCCGCACGTGGGCCCCAGAGCTCTCGGAGCCCTCCGTGGAGCTCGTGCCCCCCACCCGACGGGCCTGGCATCGCTTGGACGTGTGCATTCTTTTTTTCTCGGCGAGCACCTTCGAGGAGCATCCTCGACCATCGGGCCCACGAAAACGAACGCGAAACCCAAACGTGCACGGGGAATGGACGTCCGAGCGACGGCGGGCCCGGACGGGGTGGTCAGATTCAGAGGACAGGTGTCCCGACCCGCCTCTCACGCCTTGCGCACCGCGGCCGCCAGGCCGCCCCGAGGGTCCTGGCGCTCCCTGGGCATCCCACCTCGCGTGCTCCACGAATGGCGACTGCGTGTCGCGGCCGCTGGGCCCCAGGGGGTCCGCTGCTCGCTGGCTGCTTGCTTGCGCCGCATCGCCGATGCATCGCCAATGCGGCTCGATGCGGAGCCCGATCTTCTTCACGCGGACATCGCCACTGCATCGCCGGCGTCGCCGATGCATCGCCGATGCATCGCCGATGCATCGCCTATGTATCGCCGATGCGGCGCGATTCTCCGACCCCATCTACTCCGACCCCATCTAGGAGGCCTCTAGTATCCTGGCTCGCGCTCTCGGGTGGGCACCGCTCGAGGCCAACAAGTGCCTCCCGTGTGTGTGTGTGTTGTGTGTTGTGTGTTGTGTGTTGTGTGTGTGTGTGTGTTGTGTGTGTTGTGTGTGTGTTGTGTTGTGTGTTTTGTGTGTTGTGTGTGTGTTGTGTGTGTTGTGTGTGTTGTGTGTGTTGTGTGTGTGTGTTGTGTGTGTGTTGTGTGTGTTGTGTGTGTGTTGTTTGTGTTGTGTGTGTTGTGTGCGTGTGTGTTTTTTGTCTGATGGCCACCACAAGCCAACATGGAGAGCAGGCAGATATTGGAAAAACCGTCCCTTGGAACTCTGGGAGAACCTTTCCTTTGCTCGAGAACTGGCGCCGCGCCGTGGGGGGAAGCGCGCGGGGGCGGGCCTGATGAGAAGGGGGCGGGGCCTCGGCGACGGATCAGAAAGCTTCTCAGACGGCCGGAGGACTTCTGAACGTTTTGAGCCTGGAGCCTTCAGACGCGGTTCAGTGCAGACGGGGTTCAGCCAGAGTGCCGGATCCTGCAGGGTCCTGCTGAGCCACGGGTGCACTGACCCGGGCCTTGCAGGATCCTGCAGGATCTTGCAGAGCCTGATTGACCCGGGTTTGCGTTGACCCGGGCTAGTGTCAGGAGGGGAAAAAACACAGACACAATTAATCGTCGATCCCCCGGAAAATATTGGAAAACATGGGAAGTGGTGGGGAAGAAGAAAACCCAGAAAACATGGGAAAATATATAGGGAATCTTTCTATTTGTGTGTATTTATTTGTGTGTCCCAGGGCCCCTTCATAGTGCGATCCCGACCGAGAAGGGGCCCGCCCCTTCCGACTCCCCCCCTCGGCGTGCCCCCCCGACGGAGCGGAACGGACGGCGACGAGGACGAAAAGCGAGGCGTCTTCGTGCTGATCATAGCCGTGGTGGCCGTCACCTGCGCCGCCCTGCTCTCTGGCGTGATAGGCGTCGCCCAGCAGTGCGACGACATCGGCGGGAGCGGGGCCGGCAGGATCGGGCTTCGAGGATACTCCAGATTTCGTAGTAAAAGGGAGGAGGTCTGGACCCTCCAAGACAGGCCATTTCAGACCCCCCCCCGTGGGAGAACCCTCCAAAACATCGCCCCCAGACCCCCCCAGGCCCTCCAAGATAGCCTGGAAGAGACCCCCCCCCGAAATGAGACCCCCTCCCTTTTATTACGAAATCTGGAGTATCATAGTTTCGTATGTTTTTTTCTGGCGCGCCACCGCCCTCGTGGCGCGTCGCCCCATGTCGGGGGCAGCGTCAGGGGGGACGGGCGCAGGGGGAACGCGTCGACCCTTAAGAGTGCGGAAGTCGGTGAACGGAGAGGAAGCATGCTGCGAAGTAATTTCCAGTTGTCTGAAACATGTTTCTAACATAGTTTAAAGATGTAAAAACATGGTTGACACATTTTTGGAGCATGTTTGTCACGTTTCAACACATCTTGCATTCAATGATCGGCTTGTTAGAGTGTCCATGGTATCCACGACCCTGAATCGCCCAGGTCGTCGTCGATGGGGGCCCGATCGTCAACCCCGCCCATGCACGTGCGGGATCCCTATCGCGGGCGTGCCGCCGATCTATCGGCGATGTGTCGCCAATTCAAGTTCGACGCTTCCCCCCCATCATTAAGTCTGGCCCGTCCCTCTACAGGAGGAATGTTCAAAAATAGTCAAAACAATAGTCTGGGGACTATTTGTTGAATGTTTGTTGACCATTTGGGGGTATTTGTTTGACTTTTTTGTTGTTCGTCCACAATCGGCCTGTAGGGGGACAGGCCCGACTTAAACCCATCATTCCCCCGCACCCTCGTCGCAAGTGCATCCGTCGCGGTGCGCTGTCCAGCACGCATCCTCGGACAGGTCCAGGGGGCCGTTTTTCGGAGGGGGATCCATGCCTCCCAGCGTGCCAGGGACAACGCGACGGCTAGGTCTGCCCAAGGTTTCCGCATCTGGAGTGGCGTCCCGCTCCTGGCTCTGAGGCCCCCGAAATCAAAACAATTATTGTTTACGCTTCGCGAGTCCCCACCAGCCCATGCAGGAGCCCTGCCCATGAGAACGGACGGGAAGAGGGACGCAGAGATTCAGGAGGGAAAGAAACACACAGACACAATGAATCGTCGACTCCCCAGAAAATATGGGAAAATATGGGAAGTGGTGGGGAAGACAAAAGCCCAGAAAATATTGGAAACTATGGGGAATCCTGTCATTTGTGTGTGTGTGTTTATGTGTGCGTCCTGGGGCCCCTTCAGAGACACATCTAGCAAAACAAAGCGGGGCGAGCAGGGTGAGATCTCAGGGAGCAAAGGGATGGCCTTGGAGGACCTCTTCGGGCCATCCCCGAGGGCCAGTGCGGGAGCGAGGGGAGGAGGAGGATGCAGACGACGACGACGACCACGACGACGAGGATGAGGAGGAACATGAAGAGGAAGACGATGAGGGCAAGAACGAAGACGAGGAGGAGGAGGAGGAGGACAAGGGGGACCGCAAGGTGAGGAGAGGAAGGAGGGTGTTGAGGCATCTTGGAGGCTACCTTGCTTGGAGCATCGGAGGCCTTCTTGGAGCTGCAGGCCCGCATTGGGGGATGTTGGGGTCCTCTTGGAGCTCTTTGGGGGCATCTTGGGGCCCTCTTGGGGCTCTTTTGGGGGTCTTGGGGTCCTCTTGGAGCTCTTTTGGAGCGCCTTAAGGACCCTCCTGGGGCCCTCTCGATGATCTCTTGGGGCTCTCTTGGTGCCTTCTCGGGAGCTTTGGAGCGCCTCCTAGGGCCATCGGGGTCCTCGATTTCCCTCCCCCCTCTGGGGTCATCGAAATAGCTTCTTGGGGCGCTCTTGCTCTTGGGGTACTCTTGGGGCAGTCTTGAGGGCCTCTTGGGCCCTTCTTGGAGCTCTCTTGGGCCATCTTAGGGCCATCTTGAGGCCTTGAGGCCCCCGAAATCAGAACAACTTCTACCTCGGGTGTAGATCTGGTCCCGGAAGGGAGTCGAGAGCTCTGGGGAGGAAGGGGAGGGAGGGGAGGAGGACAGGGTGGAGTCAGGAGGAGGAGGAGGAGGAGGAGGAGGAGGTGGAATGTGCGGGTTTTCGTGCCGCCTCAGAAGTCACCCAGAGGCATCCACAGGCCCAAAACAGCACCCGAACGACCAACATCCTCGACGCTCGATCTTCGGTAGTCGAGGGAGAAGCTTAGCACCAGGGGTGCTCCTTCTCTGATCTGCTGGTGGACGCGGCCCGCGCGGGTGGATCTCCAGTCGCCACTTTCCCACGTGTTGCGGCGCACTCGTGGCTCGCGGAGGAGGTCGGAGAGGAACCGGTGCGGGATGCGAGAAGTAGGAGGGTAGGGGGTTGGGGGCCTTCGTTCGTCCTGCTCATTGCTTGCCTCCAGCGGAATGCGGAGGGGAAGGAGGAGGAAGCAGGAGGGGCGTGAGGAGGAGGAGGACGAGGAGGACGGAGAGGGGGCAGCATGAGAGGGAGAAGGCGGAGGCGGAGGAGGAGGAGGCGAAGGAGGAGGAGGAGGAGGAGGAGGCGGAGGAGGAGGAGGAGGAGGAGGAGGCGGAGGGAGGAGGAGGAGGAGGAGGAGGGAGGGAGGAGAGGAGGAGGAGGAGGAGGAGGAGGAGGAGGAGGAGGAGGAGGGCATGGAGAGGCGCGGGCCGCAGTGCCTCCCTCGGGGGCGGAGCCCGAGAGGGAGGTCCAGGCAAGGCAGGCCGGGCCCCGCCGGCCTGCCGTGCAGCACCGGGGCGCACGGCGCCACCACGCCGAGGAAGAAAAATGCGGCGGGGGGGGGATAAAACGACGCGGAGATCGGGACAAAATCGGATCGGGATAGCTCGAAATCTCTGAGAATCGGCGGGTTTGGAGGATGTCTTGGGCGCCGCGGCCGCTCCAGAGCATTCCAGAACGCTCTCGGAGCGCTCCGGAACGCTCTGGAGCGATTTATCCCGATCATAGCCCTGTTTTAGGGGAGGGCGCCTTGGCATCGCTCGGACGTGTGCATTTTTCTGGCGGCGAGGACCATCGAGGAGCATCCTCGATCATGTGGCGAAAAAGCCACGCGCGACACCGGAGAAAAACAGACAGGGAATGGGCGTCCGAGCGATGGCGAGGGCGCGGCGACAGCGACGGGCGGCGGCGGGGCACTCAAAGCAGACCAGTTGGTCCGAACTCGAGCTCGCGCCATCCTGGGCGGGCTCGGGGCCACGGGCTGCAGGGAGCAGCCTCGAGGACGAAGAGGCACGTCGAGGCTCGGCACGGTCATCATCGCGCACAGCCGCACCAGAGCCCCGAGGAACAGAGGCCGCGGCGGCAGGAGGCCCGAGGGCGCGGCCCCAGAGGGGGCCGAGGGGGCGTCACCCTCGCGCCCAGCAGCAAGGATCTTCAGCCCCGTCTTGGGGTGCAGCCCACGCTCGACACGGCGCACAGACATGCGCTGGTTCGCACGAGTACCGGCGTTCTCGGCGGGGCCCTTGCACGCAGACAGCAGCTTCCTCATATTGTCTAGCGTGCCGTGGGCCCCGCATCTTCTGCAAAAGAACACAGGGCCACACGAAACCACATCATGGTTCAAATCTCGGAAGCAATCTGCATCCGAACTGGGCTCTGGAAGCTGGGGGGTGGGCGGCCCACAGACCGCATCAGGGTCTAAACAGAGTATCCGCAGCCTCCAGACTACGTAACCGTCACCGCCTCCGAGCGAACGAGCGAGTACGACGAACCGAACACACCGAACCAGGCGTCGCACACATGCTGACGGATGGGTGACGGCATGCACTCACGCGTCTCGCGTGACGTGAGCATGGCCTTTAAACTAGCAGGGGTGCGAGCCGTGCGTCCACAGCTCCTGCACTTATCTGTCTGCTATTGGGCACTATGAGATATAAGACATGGCTAGTGAGCACGACTTTGGGAGGAGCAGGGGAAGCCATGGAGCGAAGAGGGGCATCGGGGCCCAGCTCGGTCCATTTACGTGCCTCAAGCATCCTCTGGGCCGCCCAGGCGATAAATCTGACTGTGCTTTTGTGATAGGCCAGCTCACCCGCAACGGCTTGGCATAAACCCTCACAGAACGAGTTGGAACGCGCACCAATCTTGGCGAAAAAATCGGCCCAGGCGTTCCCCGCCCACGTTTTGACACGCAAACCCCTCGACAAAACGTCGTCCAAACTCAAGTGGGCGGGGCACCATCTGAAGTGCGGAGGTTTGTCCACTGGGATTCTAACATCGACTCCCAAATGGCAGCATGTTTGGCCGTGCCTCTGGCCAACTCGGGGTCCCAGGAGTTCCCTTCACGCACAACAGCATCCAAATCCGAAACCAGAGATTCATGGCCAGGGTGGTGGGCGATGGCCTTCCTGGCCACCCAACGCTCAGCCCTGAGCTCCTGGGAGGGCCCCGTAGATGGGACGGCATGGAAACAAGCAATCGGATGCTTCGAGCATCTGGACCACCGACCAGCCAGCTCTGGCCAATTCTGGCAAGCTGGATTGGTAGCAACTACCGTCTAAGAAGGACTCAGGTCCCCAAGCACCTCTATTGCCAAACTCGAACACTTCGGGGAGGTTCTCGAGGGTCTGAATGGGGAAGCTTAAAGTGGGGACCCCATACGTGAGGTAGTGCCTATCTACATCAGGGTTGCCACAAATATCTAAGCAAGACTGGATCAGGGCTTTTCTATGATCAGCTAGCTTCTCGGGGATCTCGACGCCCATAGGGTCCGGGCCCTGATCGTTGATGAAGGCGGGGCAACCATACCATATATGACCGTATGTTCCGTGAGCCTCGGGGCACATCAGGCACTTGAGGGAAACTCTGTACTTCATAAGGCTGAGCTCGTAGGGTAAGGGCACACCGTTGGACCACACCGCAGGCAGCCAGCGCACCTCGCTGACGGGGGCACCTGACTGCCTGCACACTGTGTCGGAGAGCACGGTGCCAAATCGGGTCGGCCGACGACGCAGCCGTGCTCATATGCCTCTGAAGCCGACCGTGCTGCCAGGCTTGAGTCCCCTCAATGACCGCCAGCCTCACATCGTTCGGGCACGCCGTGATAAGAGAACTGTTCTGGCCCGTGTGGCTGTGGAGCGTGTGGGCATTCACCATCGTCCAGCCTGTGCGCAACAAGCTTGGCCAAACCGCCGACATGGGGCCCCCAGCCTGCTGCCACGTAGGGTTATCCATCATAGTGTCCCGCAACACCGTCCAGGCTCTCTGAGCTCGCGCGAACGGTACCCGATCGTCCCATACAAGACATGAATAGTTGACCAGCACCGCCAACGTACAGTCGTAGATCGGGTTGCACATTGGATTGGACCTGCGTCAGCAGATATGCAGTAACCCCTACGCGCCCTTTTGCTCCAGCGAGTGTGGCAGCGAAGCGGCGAAGGTAGCGCAAGCTGGTGTCGGACACCTGAGACCGAGGCTCCGTGGCCCGCTGCAGGCAATGCGCCTAATCGCCACAGGGCCGTCACGCGTTGGCCCGTCGCATGCTTGAAGGCCATGTACTCCCTCTTCCGCGCAGCAAGAGCACGGACTCGCTTTTGCTCCTGGGTACGTATCACTCGCCCTGCTGCCAACTCGTGTCCAAGGTTTCGCATCCAGAGTTTGACTGGGAGCTCAAGCTGATCTGCGGCACGACGGAACCATTTACGAGCAACCCCACCGCCAACAACCAGCCCCGATGTCTTGGCTTGCGTCCAAAGGCCCTGAACCCTGACATCATGAGTGAAAACCTTGACCGCTTTTACGAGGTGGTCGATGGTCCTGGGATTGTCAGAGATGAACTGAATCGAAACATCGTCTACTAGGGCCCTCGGGGTGACACGGGGGGCGATGGTATTGAGCCTCTTCAAGGCTCTGAATTACAATAAAAACAAAACTCCTGTCGCATGGTTGCACCCAGCTAGGATATCTTGATGCGGACAGAAGTGTCGAGACCAGCTCCCGAATGCGCGCAGACGCTGAGGTTGTCTGTACAAGTCCACTAGCATCCACGCTAGCCACATCGGAAAGCCTAGCGCTTCGGCCTCGACCAAAATTTGCTCCGATCGAATCATTTCGAAACACTTGATCATGTGACGCAGCATTGAAATAGAGATGTCGCCGACTAGTTTGTCAATCTCGGCGGCAAGGCTGTAAGCAAAAGCACTGTCAGAGGAGCTGTGCCGACGACGAGTACCCCAAACCTCCAGACAGTTATGCCGATCTTGCCATTCAAAAGTTAGGGGCTTGCAAACCTTGCCCCAGACTCTGCAAAGGGTCGATATGAGAGCGATGAGCCGAGTGCCGCCATCTGGTTTGGCAAGGCGTACCAGTTCGCTGCACACCCTGGCAGCAGGCCAGGGCAGGAACTGCTCACACAACATAAAAAGTCGAGCGATGGCAGCAATGGCAAGATCGGGCAAGTGGAGCAGAGCGCGGGGGTGCAGCCCGCTGGGCCCCGTCGCCGTGCGCACCGAATAACTCAACACCGCATCCTGCACCATGGCTGAAGTGATGGTGGGAAGCTCAGGCCATGCTTCCGACCCCACGGGGATCGGCACTGTGGGGCATTCGTGAGTCGTCCACACATCCGCCCAAGGCTTGAGCGCGTCATCAGCTAGTTGGTACGGTGCAGGTCGCACCGTGGACGAGACTATTTCTGGGACGGCCTTCACCTTCGAGAATCTATGCGCCTGAGAAGCACCTGCTTTAAACGAACCCCTGGCCCAAGAGACCCAAGCCTGGGACGAGCGACTTTCAGCGGCCGAAATCACTGCTTTGGCCCTGGCATTGACCGAACACAAAACCTCGGCACAATCGGGGCGTGCCAGGACGGGGAAGCCGCTAGAAAAGAACTCACGCGTGTGACTGTCGAGACAAGCAAGTACTTTTTTGCAGCGTGACACCTTGCCCATGAGCTGCGAAAACTCTCGCAACGACTGCAGCAACTTAGAGTATTGCATGGGGGCAAGCGGGCAGAGATTGTTATGCTCTTGCAGGTGCTGTATTTCCGAACTTCAATATTGGCGCATTTTCCCGAGGTGTTAAAGGAGGAAGAGAGGAAGAGAAGCTCGGGAGGACGAGTGTGGGAGGAGGAGTGTTGGCGGAGGAGGTGGAGGAGCAGGAGGAGGAAGAGGAGGAGGAAGAGGAGGAGGAGGAGGAGGAGGAGGAGAAGGAGAAGGAGAGGGGGGGTTGGACGTCTGGGCATCGGGCGACACGTGCCCACCCACGGCCGCAGTCAGGCCCACCCGCGCCCACCATGCTCAGACGCCCCAGTGCACAAGATCAGAGGCTCGCAATGGCCGCCGGCGTGTTTTGTTTATCATCTTGCACCTCTGCGCGACCGGGCCGTGCCGGACCGTGCCAGGCCCCCACGACACCGCAGGCCACACCAAGAACTCGGAGGAGGAACGATTTTCCGTCACTGCTGCTCGCCCTCGAGAGCCCTCGTCGCTGCGGTTGGACTCTCTTCGAAATTCTGGTCCCAGGCCCGAGGGAGTAACAGTATTGGTGTCTTTTCGTCCCCCCCGCGCGGGCCCCACCGGGCCACGGCCCTAAGCTTAAGTCGGGCCCGTCCCTCTACAGGAGGAATATTCGGAAATAGTCGAAAAAATAATCAGGGGACTATTTTTTGTGCATTTTTCACAATTTTGGAGTACTTTTTGAGTGCTGTTTTTTTCCATCGAAAATTCCCATGTAGGGGGACACGCAATGACATCAACACCAACATCAACATCAACATCAACATCCACGTCGTCATCATCGTAATTATCATCATTCCTCGGTCTACTGTGTGCTGGGAAGCCGCGCACGTTTGTATCCTGCGTAAGTCTACGTTGGTTTTATGGCGTGCTGTTCACTGTGCGTGTTCCACCCCTCATTTCCTTCCCTCCGCTGTCGATCCGCCCGCTGCGTCTCATCTGTCCCAGTTTGCCTTGCGATGCGCTTCTGATATAGATGCTTCGATGGGCTGGGTTACACCCAGCGCAAGAGCATGCATACGGGTACACGTGCACGTACATGACCACTTTTGAGCATTGCAAGTGCAATTCCGATTGCAAGTGCATGCATATGCGCATGTCTTCGTAAGCATAGTGCAGTGCAACGCGATGTAATGTAACAGCATACGTTGTGGCGCAACGTATTGCAACGCATACCAGTGCACCCTGATGTCAGAGAGACTATGGCTGCATTGAGCGCAGTACGCACCCAAGCAACGCGATACATCGCGAGTTGATGGCTTGAGGCAGGACACCAGCCCAAAGGCAAGTGTGTTGATGTGTGCGATGCGTATCGAATTCATCCCTCATCCTGGCGCGTGCTGAATTGTCATCTTATGAGGGTGCGGGACGTTCTGTTCATGGACGATTGCGCAGCTTTCGGAGGGGAGATCAGAACTTGGTCGAATATCTCCAGCATGAGACTCGGCACAGCAACCTGGACCCCATTTTTATGAACATAACACGGTCCCCGCTTCTCCGAGCATGCTTGTTTGAAGAGGGTTTGGTTTCGAATACATGGTGGCCGTATAGGATTGTATCTGCGAGTGGCATCGGTATACGTCGAGGGCGATGAGGTTTCTGCGCGCGAAGGAGTTCTACCGCGTCTGTGATTATTGGCTTTCAGCTCCGTCTAGGGCAATTGTTGCACCGTTGCATGCAAGAGTGCAGCTTTCTCAGGGTGGTCATCACATGTGCACTGGTGGAGTTGTTCGTTTCGTCTCAGTTGCACAGCGCGTGCCTCCGTCGTCAGGTTGACGACTCCACATTCGTCTCGATTGTTGCCGATCAACATGCTAGATCCATGTGTGATTGACTTGGTATTAGAACAGTTGGTCTCGCACGTGTGCCGTGGACCCTCGAAACAGGCATTACCTCTTGGATGACGTCTATAACCCGTTGGGTCAGTTCGCGGACGAAATATTCACGTACGTCGAAACGGCGAGAGCATCGGGCAGGAATGGGGCGCAGGGCGCATGGAGCCATGATTGCGTTGGGCACAGGAGTGCGACGACTTGGCCAAGCGTCGTACACAGCGTACGGGCCATTGTCCGCACCATTGCGGCAACGATGCCCTAGACCTTTCGAGATTTCTCCCTCTCGCCGCTATGTTATTCAGTGGCCGTCTTGGCCCGAGCGACGTAACAAGGCACAGTCCCACGTCCTCAGATGCAGCAGGCGGGTGGGATCACCATTCTTACAAGTCTGCGAGGCCCATGGAGCTTGCGTCGACACAGGTATTAAAGTAAGTGTTCCAGGCTTCCACGGTCCAGGCAGTTCAGCTGGAGCATAGGGTATAGAGTACACCCCTCCAGGTGCCCAAGACCTAGGATGCCTGGCCGGGGCCAGGAATTCGCACACGTGCAGGCCTTTTGGGCCCAGAAGTTTTGACTGGCACAGTGTCCTCACCATATCAGGCCACCCAAGTGCAGCAGTGCATATCAGGCCCTCACCCCATGCAAAGGCTCTCCACACACTCCCTGGTCCACTCCCCGTAGACTCCTTCCTCAGCCCTGCCAGCAGGTTCCCCATGTCTTACCCCTCGTGACCCTGGCGGCCCACAGAGGCTCTGGGGCACCTCGGGACCCTCGAAGATCGACTGAGAATGTGGCCCAAGATGTCTTGTAGCAGGGCGTCTTCTCTGGTGCGTCTACTGTCGAATTCTCACGGCTCGAGCTGCTCCAGGTCAAGAACACTTGGCAAGGGCAGTTGGTTTCCATTCCCCCAGTAGGGTCGCCAGGGTCCAAAGCGTGTGGCAGGAGCGCACATGGTACTTACCAGTCCAGGCCTCCCCGTCAGGAAGGAGCGTCGCGCTAGTCCAGGTGTCCTTGGTCACGACGGCGCGGCGGACGCATCATGTTCGCACAATCTCGGGCATCCTGTGCCCATGGGCGTTTCGAGAGCCACGCGTTGCGTAGCATGTCCGTGCAATCAGGTCGGTTTTCGGAGACGCTCAGGCCAATGTTTGTTCACGTAGCCGCGCTTGGTGGATGCTACAAAGAAAGAGATATGTACGGAGAAAGAGAGAAAGAGAGAGAGAGAGAGTGAGAGGAAGAGCGAGTGAGAAAGAGCGAGAGAGAAAGAGAGAGAACGAGACAGCGGCGACGGCAAAGAGGTATGGGCAATCATGCAGAGACAAGAGGCAAAGAGAGGGAGGGACGATGGAAGGTAGAGGAGCTGGTCGACGAGTACAATCAGTCCATCGTTTATCCACAGTCGCTCTCGTGTAAGCCTCTGAACGACTTGAATGTTAACCATATTGGTAGAGTTACCAAGGAGACTTTGGCGGTGGCAAGGCGGCCGTGCACTGATGATCCTTCCACTACGCCACTTCGAACTATCGACGTACGCGCTTGAACGTCTCACATGATGTGCAAGACACCCGTGTCAATATCCATCTCAAGCCCCGCAGCAGCGCAGCAGCTCAGCAAGAAGGAGGTTGAGAATAAGACACGTTCCAAATTAGTGCAATGTCTGGCTTGGCGTGAATCTGAACTAGCTCCATGTTTGTCCGCAGCCTCATTATCCTTTCTCCTCTTCCGTATCCCCCCGCCCCCTCCCTCTTGCATGTGCATTGAAGCATAGGAGGCTTTGGGGGGCCTCATGGTGCCTTGCTGGGGGCTTCCAGGAGGACTCGCAGGCGTCCGTTGGCGGCCCGTTAGAAGGCTCTGGGCCGTCTTGGGCGCGATGATTCTCCCAAGCTCTCCCGAAGAGGCTCGGTTGAAGCATTTTGGGGACGGCTGGGCGTGTCTCAGGGCCGATTTGGAGCCCTCTTGGGCCGTCTCACAAGGTCATCGAGTAGTCTTCGGGCCCTCGTGTGTAATCCTTCTTGGGCCCATTGGGGGGCTTCCTGGGGCGCCCTGCAGCTTCCCCGAGGCGGTATGCAGCCGAGACGCACCGGAAGCAATCATTCCTATAGGGCTCCTGTTGATTTGGGAGCTCCACAGCCTCGCCGAGCCCCGAGGGATCTCTGGGGGTCTCTTGCAAGGTTCTCAGGGTTGCTCTGAGCATCTGGGCCGTTGGGCCGCATCGGACCGGTCCAGCGAGAGTTCGGAGGCCTGTTTGGAGTGGTTTTGAGCCGTCCTGGAGCCGCCTCGAGGCCCCAATGGAGCGCCAGGAAGCAAACTTGAGGGGCGATGTTCAAGGTTGAGTGCTGCGGTGGGCCGACGACACGGCGGTAGGTTCGTATCGTGCTGGCGCGACATCGACCCCACTGCGGGCGTCCAAAGATGAACGCCGCCAGCGGCCCAGAATCGGCCCGTACGGAACGATCTTCCGATCGAAGTGCCGCCGATCCACGCGGTGTCAGAAACCGACGATGCGACAGTCACGCCACGAACCTGCTCTTGGGCACTGGGGGGTCGGACCCCCTCCCCCTTGGGGGATGCACCCACTGCAGGTGAGGGGCCCCGGCTGGGGAAAAACCTCGACCTAAGGATACGAGCAACACCCAGGAAACGCGGGCGCGAACCCCAGAGCGGAGGTTGGCGGCGCGCACAGGGGGGTAGGGGGAGGGGGTAAGGCTTCTTAGAAGGAGGCTGCTTCTGAGCAGGCGCCGGCCTGACATCTGCAACGAAGGCCCGCGCCTTCTAAGAAGCAGGGGTGCTTCTAAGAAGCCTTCCCCCCTCCCCCATACCCCCTTCTGCGCGTGGCCGAGGAGGTTACGGGGCCCGTCGAGCCCGGGCAGCACGGAGGCCCCAAGGTGTCTCCGAGACCGCCCACGTTGGGCCCGCGGGCGCCCAGAGGCGCCCCTCTGGACTTCCCGAGGTGGCCCGAGGCGGGTCCCCGACGGCGACGGCACGGCCTCTCCGGGGACCCTGCCGGTTCCCCTGAAGAGCCTTCTGGGGCGCCTCTGAGATCAGCCACGCGCAGAGGGGTCGGGTGTTGCTGGAAGCACCCCCGGCCCAAGGTGCCCCCAGGGAGGCCCCCGCGGCCTTCAGAGCAACCCCACCGAGGCCCGGAAGGCCCCAGAGCCCAAACTTGGGGGAAAAGTTGGGGGCACCCTGGGCCAAAGGCACCTTGAGGAACTCCCGAAGGGAGGCCAGGGGAATGGGGGGAAGGTTTCTTAGAAGCACCCCTGCTTCTTAGAAGGCACCGGCCATATCTGTAGATGCAAGGCCGGCGCCCTCTAAGAAGCAGTCTCCTTCTAAGAAGTCTCCGCCCCTCCTCCTCCCCCCTTGTACGCGCCGCCGAGGAGAGCTGCTCGCAGGAAGTTGGGCCCTGCAAGGGGCAAGGGTGCCGTTCAACCCCCCGAGGAGGCTCCAGGCAGCTTGCGGGCTGCCTCAGCCCCGGCGTTCCAGACAGCTTCACGCAGAGATGGCCCCAAGATTCCAAAAGGCCCTAAATTCCCAGAAGGCCCTGGGACCACACAGCGGCCCCGAGGCTCCCGACCAGACTGCGCCAGCCCGCGTCGATGGTTTTGTTGTTTCCTCCTCGTCGGAACTGCCCGTCCGACGCACCACCCTCCTCTTCCTCCTCCTCCTCCTCCTCCTCCTCCTCCTTTTCCTCCTCCTCCTCCTCCTCCTCCTGCTCCTCCTCATGATCCTCCTCCTCGTGCTCCTCCTCTTCCTCCTCCTCCTCCTCCTCCTCCTTCTCCTCCTCCTCCTCCTCCTCATTCTCCTCCTCCTCATTCTCCTCCTCCTCCTCCTCCTCTTCCTCCTCCTCCTCCCACTCCGCATCCTATGGGTGACGTTTGGCCTCCCACTACGCATACCTGGGTCACGGTGCGGGACACACTTGCTGTCGACGCTGTCCCTTTAATGAATGTAGGTAATCGCATCCTCTTTGTAGTGGGCCTTGTCTTGAACCTCCTTTTGCAGTATATTGCTGAGGATTTCGTACCGGTCTGGGGCTTTGTCGCAGGCCGAGCCTGGGTGTGAAATGAGTGGGCCCAGTGCCGATACGTGAGCAGTGTACAATAGCATCAGGCAAGAAAGCAGCATGTGCAGCAGTTGCTTGATTATCCAGACGATCGGTAACATGCCTTTCGTATTCATTTGGGCTCAATATGTTTCCCAACCATCATGTGGTGTTGGGTCCTCGTTCTGAAGAGACGGTCCCCGCGTTCTTCTCTCCTCTCTCCTCTCTCCTCCTCCTCCTCCTCCTCCTCCTCCTCCTCCTCCTCCTCCTCCTCCTCCTCCTCCTCCTCCTCCTCCCTGCGTTTCACCCACCCACTACAGCGCTTCGTGGCCCCAGAAGAAACTCCACCGAAGGTCCCAGTGGGAGTGCCCGCATGCGACCGCCACACCCAGTACAGCGCTGCGTGGCCCCATACGGAGCTTTACCGAAGGCCCCAGTGGGGGTGCCCGCATGCGTCCGCCACACCCAGTACAGCGCTTGGTGGCCCCATAGGGAGCTCCACCGAAGGCCCCAGTGGGGGGCCCGCTTGCGTCCGCCACACCCAGTGCAGCGCTTCGTAGCCCCATACGGAGCTCCACCGAAGGCCCCAACGCTGGAGCCCGCATGCGTCCGCCACACCCAGTGCAGCGTTTTCGTGGCCCCATACAGAGCTCCACCGAAGGCCCCAGTGCGGGTGCCCGCATGCGTTCGCCACACCCAGCACAGCGCTTCGTGACACCATGGGGAGCTCCAGCGAAGGCCCTAGTGGGGGGGCCCGCATGCGTCCGCCACACCCAGTACAGCTTTGTCGTGGCCCATAGGGATCTCAACCAAAGGCCCCTGTGTGGGTGCCCGCATACGTCCGCCACACCCAGTACAGCGCTGCGTGGCCCCATAAAGGAGACCCCAATGGGGGTTCCCGCATGCGCCCGCCACACCCAGTACAGAGTTTCGTGGCCCCATACGGAGCTCCACCGAAGGCCACAGTGGGGGTGCCCGCATGCGTCTGCCACACCCAGTACAGCGCCTCGTGGCCCCATAGGGAGCTCCACCGAAGGCCCCAGTGGGGGGGGGGCCCGCATGCGTCCGCCACACCCAGTACAGCGCTTCGTGGCCCCATACGGAGCTCCACCGAAGGCCCCAGTGAGGGTGCCGGCATGGTTCCGCCACACCCAGTACAGCGCTTCGTGGCCCCATACAGAGCTCCACCGAAGGCCCCAGTGGGGGGGGCCCGCATGCGTCCGCCACACCCAGTACAGCGCTTCGTGGCCCCGTATGGAGCCCCAGCGAGGGGCCTAGTGGGAGCGCCCGCATGCGTGCCCCCGACCCAGTACGGCGCTTCGTGGCCCCATATGGGGCGTTTACCGAAGGCCCCAATGGCACCGCCCGCATGTGTCCCCGCAACCTACAGCGCGCCGTGGCCCCACAGGGAGCTCCACCGAAGGCTCCACTGGGACCGCCCGCGTGCGCCCCCCCCACCCATTACCGCACGCCCCATTCACGCATTGCGTGGCCGACCGGAAGCGGCACCCACAACGCATTGTTCACAATAGCGTATGGTTGGGTCCTTCGCCAAAATAATTTCCCGATTTTCGAGTTTGGATGAGAAAAATACGATCGATTGTCCTTACAGAGACGGGCCATCATCAGACCCTTGCCGTCATCTTCGCACTTCCACCCCGCTTTGCAGTTCTGGGTCTACATTGGTAGCAGGTGCTAGCTCGACCACGACAGCGCGCGCGACTTCGCAGAGCCAGCTGTTGCTAGCAGCAGGCACATACAGCTCGTGATTCGCCCCTGACACCTCTTTTCTTCGTCGCCGCCAGCACGGCGACAAATGGAAGAGCTGGCGCAGCCGTCAGCGAGGACAAAGGCGGGGGCAAGATTCCAGCGCCCGCCCCCGACGGCACGAGCAAGACGCCGAATAATCGCCGCCGAGAAGTACGTCGCCACTTAGCAGGGCGGCACGGAGACGAAGCCGCCCAATCAGGCGGCCACGCTCTAGGCGAGCTCGCGGGGAAAACCGGGGAGGCGCGAGAGGAGTTCGACCTAGTGACGATCAAAGAGGACAATTCGGCCGAGGCTTTCTCGGACTATGACGGGGCTCGTGTTCCCGAGATCGAGATGTCAGGGAGACACCCGCGCTTCTGGAGACGTTCGCGAAGCCAGCCTGCGTCAGATACAAGGGCCACGGCCATCTAGTGCCAGGCGAGGCCTCGGCCGACCTGCACATGGGCGCGATGGCCCACGGAGCGCGCGGCTAGCGTGTTCAACGCGGTCGGCAACAAGCTCAATCCTGTCAAGATACAGCAGCAGCCGATTATAAACTTGCCCGAGGTCGCGGCCGCGGAAGGCCACGCGGGCCATCGCGACAACGGAGGCTACGGAGGTCACAAGAAGGACCACGAGACGACGAACACCACGGAGGACCACGACGATGAGCGCAAAGCAGAGGACGACGCGTCGAGCGACAGCTCCGACGCCTTCAACGAAGAGGTGCCCGACGAGCTGCACGACGCCCTCAACGAGGCGGAGGAGCAGGTGGCGCTTTTCACCGAGAAGTTGGCGCGCGCGAAGACAAGTTGAGGGGGGCCAAGCAGGCCCGCGGCACTTTCGCCTGGAATGACGGCGGCCAGCCGCCCAAGAAGGACGACCCCAGGATCAACAAGATGAAGGCGAGAATTCATTGCGGAGCTCGTGGCCAGAAAGGCCACTGGCGAGGCGACTCGCAGTGCTCGCAGCAGAACGACCCCAACGCGAGGGCAGAGATTCCCCGCAAGTGGGCTAGCAAGACGAATGTGACCACGAATGACGGTGCCAGCTAGGACCAGGAGCCCCACGTGGCCGAGCTGGAAGTTGCAGTAGTCTACCAGCACGATCAGATAGGCCCAGCGAGGGCCCGCAGGAAAGGGGCGTCGCGGGCGATCGACGGCAAGGGGCCTCGCCAGAACGTCAACATCCCCCCTGAGGTAGCCCCCGACCAGTTCTATATCGATCCGACCAACCATTGCTTCATGGCGGCGACGGGCTTCGCGCTGATCTACATCAGCATCGAGGGCTTCACCCAGGGAGTCTGGAGGCAAGTTAGGCCTTCGACGCGGCACGTTCGAGGCGCGTCAGGGCGCGGACTGGCACGGCGACGTCATGGAGAAATGGGCGGCTGCAATATCCAGCCCATCGAGCATCCCGAGAAGAGGCCGTTCCGCTTCGGAGCGCCCAAGCTAGCGCTCAGCACCATCGCTGATTCCTTGCTCGGCGAACGGCAAGGCGTTCACGGCCAGGTTGAGTATCGCGCGCAGTGCCGCGCCAGGACTGCTCAGCCGTTAGACCCAGTGCGAGCTGGACGCCATCTACCACGCGGTGGACATACATTTGGACGTCAAGTCGGTCGGCGAGTCCGGCATCCAGATGAGCTTGGGCCGCGCCGGCCACCCGGCGCTGGACGTCTTAGCGTTTGCCCCGAGCTGCAGGCCCGCGCAGGACGTATCAGACACCGCGGCCGAGGCCCGTCTGCTTCCCTTTTCGATCTGCCGCGCTGAGACGGCAGCCGCGGCCGGCCCCGCCAACGGTGGAGCCCGAGCGGAAGGGCCGAGGGGTCGACGCTTCGGAGGCCAACGAGTCTCAGTCGGAGACTGATTCCAGCAGCGAGCTCGATAGCGCTGACACGTTCGAGCAGCCGGTGCGCCAGGCAATGTGCGCATGCATCCCATCGCGTCAGTCGTCGCCAGGATCAGGAGATGAGGGCTGGGGCATCATGCCAACGTCATCTAGCGCACTAAAGGTCATTCAAGTGCCAGCCTACAGACGCGCCAGCCAGTTAACGACAGCAGCTACCTGTTCGATGTTAGCAGCGATCCAACGGTAGCGAGCCATTTGGACAGCCATCAGCACGCAGTTCATTATCAAACAGAATCGTCGCCACAGCCTTCCGGCTATAGTTCAACTCTGGCTACCTCAGCGCGCGCCGCGCGTGCCGCGGCAGATCCAGCCACCGCAGCTCACGGCGATCCCGCGGCAGGCGCCCATGCCTCCGCGCCAGCCATGCACGACGACGTCTCCCAGGGCGACGAACCGGGAGAGCAATCACTCGAACGCGACGACGCCACGCATCGCCCGGCCGCCGGCGGCCACCAGCATAAGGCCCCCAGAGTTCCAGGCGGAGGCGGCCAGCAACGAGCTGGACGTTCGCGACGCCACGCCCGACCAGCTGCGCGCGATCTCGCGCGCGCTGGGGCCGGAGGGCGACGAGAACAAGGCGCAAGACGCAATCCCTTCGACTTCGCGCAGGAGTGGCCCTAGGCCAGGGTGGCATTTGGCGCGCGGATTCAAAACCATACGTGAGACCATGCGGGACACCATGCGAGAGGCCCTGCCGGAGGCCTTACGGGAGACCTCACGGGAGGCCACAGCTGCGGAAGACCATGGGCCACCGATGCCCGAGCTGGTCGACTTCGCACCCGGCCCGGAAACAGATAGATGGGACCCTTACAGGCCAGTTGTGCAGGGAAGAAGTCCTCGAGTTTCTGTCCCTTGCCCTCCTCGTCCTAGGTGCGACTACCAGGGCTCATGCAAGCAAGTTGTTCAGGGAGTACGTCCTCGAGTTTCTATCCCTTGCCCTCCTCTTCTTCCGAGGTGCGACTACCAGGATTATTGCAGGCGAGTTGTTCAGGGAAGAAGTCCTCGAGTTTCTATCCCTTGCCCTCCTCTTACTCCTAGGTGCGACTACCAGGACTCTTGCAGGCAAGTTGTTCAGGGAATGCGTCCTCGAGTTTCCATCCCTTGCCCTCCTCCTCTCCCCAGGTGCGACGACCAGGACTCTTGCAGGCAACTTGTTCTGGGAACAAGTCCTCGAATTTCTATCCCTTGCCCTCCTCTTCCCAAGTGCGATGACCAGGACTCTGGCAGGCAAGTTGTTCAGAGAATAAGTCCTCGAACTTCTATCCCTTGCCCTCCTTCTCTTCCTAGGTGCGACTGTCGTGCGCGCCTCGGATTGAAACACACTCTACCTGCAGGGACCTGTTCAATGCCACAAACGTCTACCCGTATTACCAGGACAGGGCGTCCGTCGTTCTTTGAGCCGGGGCGGGCGAGAGTGGGGGGGAAGAGGGGGGGGAGTACGAAGCCCGATGTGTTCGGCGCCACCGCCAGGCAACTTCCTCGGTATGTGGCCGCCTCTGGTGCGGGGAGGCGCTGAAAGAGTCAGCTGCATGCCACCGATTCGCTGCCTCCCCCCAGCTGCCCCCCCCCCCTTGCGCCCGCACCTGCTGGGGAGCCTCCGCGCGTCCCCGCAGCCCTTCCGGCTGCTCCTCTCGCGTGCGCCGCCTTCGGCCTGGCCCCCGGCACGCGGACATCCGCAGGACCGCATCGGCGGCGCCCGCGTGTGCGAAGCCTTCTGCGCCACGCAGGGCTGCCGGGCGCGGCGAGGCGTCCGTGGCCGCGCTCGGGCCCCAGCGCCGTCAGAGACGGGTCCGGGTCGAAGAGCTCACCCCCAACGTGAAGGGGTGTGGATTTCTGGGGACCGCGGGCTGAGCGGACAGTTCGCGCGTCCCCACCACAGCCCACCCAGAAACGATGCCCGGGCGAGCTGCCCGGATCGGGGAAGTGTAGGATCAAGCACGGAGTGGAACAAGGATGGGTGGGGGCCAGGAACATGTGCACTACATTGTGTGATGTTCGTCCACCACGCAGTGGCACATGAAGTGCCGACCCAAGCACAGTGTATAGATTTGCTTCGCCCCGAGAACCAGCCAGGAAAGTATGTACTATACGTTGTCCTGTTGCGCTTCTGCGAAGCACCATGGGACACGGCCCAGATACCGTAGTGAATACACGCACGGTTCCCACGAGAAACGATGCCCAGGCGAGTGTCTTGATCAGGGAGTTGCAGTGGAACAAAGATAGGGGACAGCTGTCAAACCGAAGCCCAGAATCAGCCTCGGCATGCCCAGGTGTGTCAACCACATGTCTGCGCGCATCGTTTCTTATGTTGGAGCCTCTGGGCACCTTACTTGGGGAATGTTGGATGCCTTTGGGGCTATCTTGGGACCCTCCTGGAGGCCTGGGGGGCCATCTTGGAGGCCATCGAGCAAAGAAGTGGTGACGCGGATCACAGTCCCCCGGTCGAAGCCTTCAGAATCGCATCTGAGGGAGGATAGGGGGATTGAGGATGACAGGGGGAGGAGGAGGGATGAATGGAGGAAGAGAACGGGGACTCAGTAAGGATGAGGAGGAGCAGCAGCAGTATGAATATGAGATGTGGTGGGGATCATCCATTGCAGGACCTTGCGTTGCTGCCAACACATGCCTAACACGCCTGGATGCGCGTTGGCGTGGTGCTCAATAAAGATATCATGACATCTGCTCTGGCACCTGCACTGCAGATGCGATCCTTTATGACCAGTGTGCAATATAGTTATTTTGCCGGAGACTGCGTTATGTCATGCAGTGGTCCGTACCTCTATTGACGTGTCCTGTCGTCCTTTGTGTCGCATACCCAATCATGCATCATTGTGCGAGTATGATCCCTTCGCCAGGAGATTGTGCATAACGGCGTATGCAACCATATGCCGAGAAGTTTGGGTTTATTTTGTCTCCAGCAGGTGGTTGCTCCAATGTTGTTCCGCATGTCTTCGTGCCCAAGAAATGATTGACTATTCGCGTACCCCCACCAGCTTGTACCGCAGTCCCGGACATCGCATGTTGCCGCCAGACCGTGGTCGCGCGGCCGCCGACTAAAAAGTACCCCCACCAGCCCATCCAGAAACAGATCGCCAGGTGAGGTGCCTTGCTCAGGGAAGTGTAGAAGCATGCAGTTTAATAACCGCCTTGGAAGTGTTCTCTCGGAGGTCTCGTGGAGCCATCTTGGGTCTCTCTTGGAGTCCTCTCGGCGCCATTTCGGTCACTCTTCGGGCCCTCTTGGGGCTCTGTTGGGAGGTCCGGGGGCCCTCTCAGGGGCTCTTTGGGGGGGATCTGGGAGGCCTCTGGAGGCAATTCTGGGCACACTGTGCAAAAAGAGTGCGTGTAAATTCAAGCCCCCCCCGTCGGAGGCTCGAAAATGGAGTCTTGGGATCTTCTTGGGGCGATCTTGGGCGCTCTAGGGGCCCTCTTGGGCCCCTCTCGGGGCTCGTTTGGGCCGTCGTGGGGCCATCGTAAGGCCTCAAGAGCCCATCGGAAGCGAAAAGGCGAGAAGGCAAAAAACAGTAAGTGTCCTTAGGTTGTCGATCTATGTTGGCCTCTTGGGTGGGTCCGTGGAGGGCTCGGAGGGCACTTGAAACTGTCTTGGTCCCGTCTTGAGGCCTCTTGGATGTTGGTCGGAGGTTATCTTGAGGTATCTTGAGCCCTATTGGAGGCCATCGTGGGCTCTCTGAGACCCTCTTGGAGCCATCTCGGGCCATTTTGGACGCTCTAACCCCTCCAGCCTCCCCTCCCAGGCCCAGGGGATGGGGTAGGGGGAGTCAAGACCCCCTCCCCGCCCACAAGCCGTCTCGCTCACTCCCACCCGCCCTCCCAACACATACGCAGCACCCGAGCCTGGCCCGAGCCGCAGCTGATTCAGCAGTTGTCTTTCGATGGGCAGCTACTGGGGGCGAAACCGCCGCCGCCGCCGCCGCCGCCGCCGCCGCCGCCCGCCGCCGCCGCCGCGCCGCCGCCGCCGCCGCCGCCGTTGTCCGCCGCCGCCGCCGCCGCCCCCGCTGCCGAATCGCCACCGCCGCCGCCACCGCCGCAGCCGCCGCAGCCGCTGCCCCCGCCGCAGCCGCCGCCGCCAAGTGTATTCTGTATAGTTTGTTGACAGGGATGGTGGGGGGAGGCCGCACCGGGCTCGCTGCGAATGCTCCGAATTTGGAGGCAGAGTGTGTTTTGTATTTTTTTACAAGGGATGGTGGGGGGGGGGGCCTGGTTGACTCGGGTTGGCTCCCACTCGCCTTGGGGAGGGGGTGTATATTAATAGAGAACAGTGATCAAGACATCTTAGTAGATAGCGAGCCGTCTAGCTCACTCCCACCCGTCCTCCCAACACATAACACCCGAGCCTCAGCATGTTCAGCGGTCGTCTTTGGATGGACAGGTATGAGGAACCAAAACCGGGTCCATGTGCGCGACGCTGGGGCGAGGTGCGCCACGCGTGCCAGGCGCGCCACGCGGGCCAGACACCCCTGGGGCCCGAGCGTGCCAGGCACGCCTGGTGCGCCAGATGCGCCACGTGCATCCGCGTGCGCCAGGTGTGCCGCATACTCCAGCCGCGCCAGGTACGCCACGTTCGGGGCACGTGCAGAGTGTGTCAGGTGCGCCTGCGCAGGTGACAGCACACATCGGGAAACATGTCGGCCCCCACCATCCGCGTCGAAAACCAATGCCCATCATTGTGTCTGGTGGGCCTGCGCACAGCAAGCCATACGCCACCACTTGACAGTGATCGCGGGGTGGCCGCGCATGATCCAAATTTAGCCGCGAGGTGCATTTCGTATTGTTTTTGGTTTGGGATGGTAGCCCTGCACGCAACAGGCAATATGCTGACACCCCCGCCGTCCCTGTCAAAAAGCAATACAAAGTGCTCGCGGGCTTCACGAACATGACTCCAGACTTTGCCCCAAAGTGTATTGTGTATTGTGTTTTGACAGGGATTGTTGGGGGGGCCCTCATGGGGTCCTCGTTGTTCCTGATTGGCTGCCAGTCGCCTGGGAGAGGGGGTGCATACTATTTGGAAACGGTGATAAACCCCTCCCGCGAGCAGGAGATGGAGGGGTTTTGGCAGAGAGAAGACAAAGTTCGGTAAACCACCTACGCCCAGAGGGCTGGTGGGATTTGTTCATGTCGTGGACATTGGCGAGTTAAGCGGCATTGAGTGTGCTGGGGCGTGTAATCTTCTTTGTGGCGCAGATTTCCGACTGTAGGGCGATATGCTACGAATGGCAGTCTTAGGAGGGGATCGGCAGCCGCGCATGCTTCATTGAATCGGATGTGGTCGTGCAGAGCAGTACAGTGGCATGTGGGTTGCTGAGATCCAGAAACACATGTTGGCGATCGAGTTTGGGGCCAGAAGGGACGAGGCACGGCGACCATGGCCCAGGCGGTGGTGGGATTGGTATTTTTTCCTCTGTGCGCGTGTTGGACCCACAACTACCTCGCGCACCACGTGAGCGCGCAGAGACCGGGGCGTCCAGAAGGCGAGCCCATGTTTTTACCGCTCTTCGCAGGAAGGTGGTTCGTTGCGCACGGTTTGTTGCGAGGGCGCAGTTCTACATGAAAAGGCGCACGAGAATCACGACGCATGTCGGCCCAGCTTCAAGAGGACATGGGCGGAGTCTCTGCGGGTCGAGTCTTTCGGTTTCTTTCCTCGTCTTTCTCCACCGTGTTCCTCTTCCTCGGTCCTCTTATCTTTCCGCACATCCGTGGAACCCCCCAGGAGGGGCAGTCCCACCATCCACACAATGTCCGCCAGCTACGAGTTTTGCTTGCCGGTGCGCACGCGTTGGTCTAACAAGCGCGCTCTGGCAACTCCGCATCAAATCATGGCATGCAGGCCACACGCGTTGGTACCCCCCGCGCTCGAAGTCGAAATCCTTTCAAAGCAACCATGAGTGTTCGATGCATTTGAAATTAGAACGTTTCAAACATATGGAGTAATTACCAATGGTCTGCCAGTGGGAAAGTGTGATTTCCTGCGCGCGCACTTGCGACAATCATGAACAAAAACATCGGTGCCCTGTCACCCCTGGCAAACAAGACCATGCGGGGAAAACGCGAGCGCTACCGCGCGCGCATGTCGAAATTATGTTAAGTCAATCGCGCACTTTCGCGATTGCGTCGCGATTGCGTTCCTTTCCTGCGCCCCGTTGATTTACCCTCCCGCGCCTCAGGTTGTCCTTTCCTCCTCTCTTCGTAGCTTCCGTAGAGCTGTTAGGACATTGGTGTTTGCCCTTATCACTGTGCACGCCCCAGTTCGCTGCAGCTTGTCTTCCTCTCTCTCTCTTTCTCTCGTTCTCTCCGTGCCTCTCGCTTCCCGTCTGGGTGCCGTTGTGCGTTTATGCATCATATAAGTGGCCGTGTGGACCGCAAGGGATCTCGGGACATCGCCTTGGCCTTTTCTCCTCCATCCCCTCCCTCGTTCCTCCTCCGTGAGCTTGCGACGCTCGTGGACAGTGGCGTGGCGGCGGACGTTCGCTTCGGCTTTCTTTTTCGAGTGACTCATGGAGGTCAGCTGCAGACTGCAGGTGGGGCGTTGGCGTACAAATAATGTTACAACAATAGCGCGCGTGTTAAAATCATGAGTTCTATGGCCCCCTCGCCAACCTTTCCAAATAAGAAAGTGTGGACCATACGCGCGCGCCCCGCGCGCTTGCATGTACCAATCGTCGTGCAAAGGCAGGTGGTGTCTAAGCAACTCAAGATAGATCTGTTGAAACAATGCTGGCCAATAGAGAATGTTAAATCGTCTGCTCGCGAGTTTGGCACAATCGCAATAATGTCGTACATTGCTTATCACCCCTGTCAAATAAGATCCTGCGGGTAACGCGCGCGCGCCCCCCTCGCACGCATGTCGGCTTGATGTGTTATCTGTTTCCCCCGCCCACCCTGTCAAATAGTACCATGCGGGTCACACGCGCGCGCCCGCCCGCACGCATCATCTATAAACAAAGGTCGAGCGTTGCAAAAACGTAGATAAACAGCACCAGTTTTCAAAGCGAAGTGTTTCAGATCCTTCTGGACATCATCATTCGCCCGCCAGGGTCATGGATTTGCATGGGACGAATCCGCGCGTCAATGCGATTGCTGGGATCGGCTAACAAGTTCAGACAAGGAAATTGCACGCACGCCTGCTTGACTATCGCTCACAAGCTCCGGGTGGACAGAAGGACAGTAGTGCATTCGAATTGTAGAGTCGGCGGGCTCTTTCTCTTCAACTTAATTGCACCAATTTCCACCACGTAGAATACACTACCTAGCATACACCACATAGCTTGCACAACATAGCTGATGCCATGTAGCATGCACCACCTAGAGCGAACGGCATAACATGCACCACAAATATCGCACTCCCCCATTGCAAGAAGCCACCGTTTGGGGTCCACGCTGGTAGACAGCTTGTCATTCAATACCCTCGGAAAGCCCTTCCACCAGAGAGGCAAGAGGAGTGGGTACATGGCGAGTCCCTGCAAAAAAACACGATGAAGCGGGAAGGCGGAAGTTGTTAGTGGCTTTGCATTGATTTCAGCAGTGGCAGTGTGCCTCTTTTTCCAGCCAGCCCGGTTCATGTGGATTTGTTTCTAGCTCCTGGTCTTTGCGGCCCATACGTGGTTCTCGATCTCTCGCCGCTTTCACTGTTTATCTTGTTTCCCACGCCCATGTGTCCAAGCGCCCATATAGAGTATGATGCGTTTGTGGGAGGTCAGTTGTCTTCGCCTCCGAAGCTGTAGAGTTCGGGGGAGGTGGCCATGTTTACCGTACCAAACCGGATCAGATGACCAAATTGTTGTGAAGGATTGCCCCCACCGACGGTACCTCCAAGCAAGAATTGAGCCCCCCATCTCTAGTGTTTGTCATGGCCTCTCAAGTCCTTAACATGTCAAGCAAAGACTCGCATCCAGATTCGACCGACGAAGACACGGAGGGCGTGACCGAGGACGCAGACGTCAGAAGCTCGGCAGCTCGGCCCGCACGCCGTCCAGCCCGATCGGCCTCCGCCACAGTTGGCCACCCTCCGCATCTTAGTTGCCAATCGTCCGAGGGGCCATGATGGGAGATGTCCTGCCAGCCTGGCCTGTACGGCAAGCTCGCACCGCATCGGCGCGGCGGCGACGCTTGCGCGGGTCTCTGAGGTTGAAAAGATATTGAAAGCCCTCCAGGAGGCCCGTTTTAGGCCCCAGGGACTCGCAAGAAAGGGGCCAGCGTGCGGCATCAGCACAGTAGGCGCATCAAACAAGCAACCAGCTTGCCAACAGGTGCCCCACGGAAATGCACCATCCCACGATGGTCCCGGGGACACAAAAGCTCTGGGGCATCCCAGGAGGACGAACCCATGCGGGAAGAGGAATCCACGACCAGAACAGGCTCACCCGCACTGGGAACGCGAAGGCAAAACCTCGGGACAGCTTGTCCACGCCGAGAACAAAAGCGGCCCCCCGTACCAGGAACGCTTTGGCCCAGACCAGGAACGGTTTTCGGAAATTCCCAAATGAATCGCGCAGTATTTGGCACAGGGGTCCAGAAGCCCTCGAGGGGGAAATTGTTGCTATTGCTAGTATGCCAGGGTTAGGGTGTTGTTTGTGTCGTTCCCTGCGTTGCCACGTGACGAGTAGAGTGGGTGTGCTATATTTGTGGTTGCCATGTGGCGAGTAGACGGTCGTATTTGCTCGCCCCCTTGCGTTGCCACGCGGCAAGTCCAGTGAAATAGTGTCTTTTTGCGGCCCCCTGCGTTGCAACGTGATAGTGGAGCAAACGTGTCTGGATTCGCCACTCTGCCTGGCGATGTTTCGAGCAGGGTCGGATCCTCGCGACGCTACGTGGCGAGGCGGGTAGTTGTTGTGGGCGTCTCGGCCCCCTACGTTGCCACGAAGAGAGTAGATTCTGGTATGTCGTGGTCAGCCCCTTGCACACGTGGCGAGCGGAGTTGAACCCTATGTGTTTCCCCCCCCCCATGCGTTGAAACGGTCAGTAGGGTGATGGAGCCTGTGGAGAGCAACAGGGGGCAGGGGAAAAAGGGGGGCCTCTTGCGCGAAGGAGAGAGGTGGACGCCGGTCAGGGTAGTGTACTTGGGTCACGGGGTTGGGATGAGGGTGTTGCGTGAGAGTGTCAGGGCTAGCCATGTTTGGGGTCGCGCGCATGTCGAACTCTTTCCAGACGTTCATCACCGACGCGAGGACGCCGTCATCGTCGTCGGCGTGATCAGCATCGGCGCCCGCACTGGCCGCGCCTTCGACGGTGCGAACATCGTCACCAGCATCGCCACTATCATCATCGTGTCTACCGTTGTCGGCGTTGCCATGATACCGCGCCCGCCCAAGTCGCCGACTCGCAGTGAAGCGCCCGCTGGGATGCGCCCAGCGGTCAGCGCCACCGCGGCCGGGTAAATGGCGCCAAACTAACTGGCCGCTGCGCGCGCGTGCTAGGGTTGGCGCGGCCGCAGAGATGCACCAGCCAACGCCAAGCATGCATCGCAATCGCCACCGCATGGGTTTTGCAAACCAAGTTGCGGGTGGGTGGATGGGACGTTTGCAAAAGCATGGGGTGTGTCAACTCGCTTGTTGAAATAAATTGCACCACGTTGATTCTCCTTTTAAAAAAGAGCATAGCCTCCACCCCCCTGACGTTATCGGCCCCCCTTTCGGGTACGTAAATCGTTTGTGATTCCGACCACATATCCATCCTAAATATAAGTTTACACTATCCCCGAAGGGGCCGGGATCGGCCTCCCTGAAGTTCCCTTGTTTTTGTTTTTTTAGCAAAAAGCGATACGCGGGGACATCTGTTGTTCTAACATAAGAATGTTTCACGAATCCCTTGCCAACAAAAAAACGAAGGGCACACGCGCGCGTCGTCGCGCGCGCATGCCGAAATCCTTCAAGACCTTCAAGAACCTTCGGTGTCGGAAAGATTTCGCAATCGAGTTTCCGAAAACACACGCACACACAAAAACACAGGGTTTCGCAACATTGATTTGCTAAAACAGCTTACGCGCGAGCTCTTGCGAAATTTGTCATATATATATACACATATACACATACATATATACAGGTTGTGCAAGACTTTCACAACATTCTATCAAACGGACTTCGCGCGCGCATGTCGACATCTGTCGAACGCCCTTGCGCGTGTGCCGTCGCGAGAATCCCTTGCAACAGCGGGACGAAATGCAGACGCGCGCGTCGTCGCGCGCGTATGCCGAAGTCCTTAAAAAATCGTGTGTCCAGAAAACCTACAAAAACCCCAGGTTTCGCAACACGGATTTTCAACAAAAGCGTGCGCGCGCTCTTGCGTCGTCGTCGTCGTCGTCGCCGTCCTCCATCCTCCCGCGCCGTCGTCGTCGCCTACGTCGTCCTTTGTCTTTCCTCGTGTTCGTCGCCGTCGTCCTCTTTGGCGTCGTGGTCGTTTCCGTCGTCGTTGTCGCCGTGGTCGTCCTTTCCTCTTCCCTCGACGTCGTCGTCCGTCGTCGGCGTCTCGTCGTCGACCCTCCTATTTCGTCGACGTCGTCGTCGTCGTCGTCTTCCCTCCTCCCTCGTCGTTATCGTCGTCGGCGTCGCCGTCCTCCCTCCTTCGTCGTTCGCGTCGTCGCCGTCCTCCCTCCTCCCTCGTCGTTGTCGTCGTTGTCGCCTCCCTCGTCGTCGTGGTCATCTTCGTTGGCGGCGTCGTTGTCGTCGTCGTCGTCGTTGTCTTCGTCGTCGTCGGCGTCGTCGTCGTCGGCGTCGTCGTCGTCGGCGTTGTCATCGGCGTCGTGGTCGTCGTCGTCGTCGTCGGTGTCGTCGTCGTCATCGTTGTCGTCGTCGAAGTCGTTGGAGACGTCGTCGGTGTCGTCGTAGTCCTTCTCGGCGGCGCCGTCGTCGTCATTGTCGCTGTCGTCGTCGGCGTCGGTATCGTGGCCAAGTGCCATGTGGTACCTACCGTCACGGTCTTGTTTTAAGAGGTCTTGCGACCAAGTTGCGGGTGGGAGGGTGGGATGTTTGCACGAGCAGTGGAGAGGACAGCTTCAAGACGGTCAAAGTGGATTGCGCCACATAGTTTGCACCACATAGCATGCATCACATAGATTGGGCCACATAGGTGGCAGCACATATTTTGCACCACATAGCTTGCACCACATTGCAACACACACTGTTTAGGGATCCACAATGGCCAACATTGAGCCACAGGGATTTCCCGAACACCCGAAATCTCAAAACGTAGTTCCAGACTTTCCAGATATCCGATCCCAGAATTCAGCTCCATCGGTCGTTAATCACCAAGTGCTAAGCCTTCCTGGTTATATGCACATGGTCGGTGTCGCCAGAAATGTCGCTAATGATGAATGTTGCGGGCGTCTGTGCGATGCGCAACGCACAGAGCGGCACATACAAATGATACACGCCATATGCTCTTTCTCTCTCCAAATTTTTCGAAGGGGCCGTTTTGGTGAGACTGGTCAGTACTTCGCAGCTCCCTGGGGGGCTCCCAACTGCGCAATTGTCGCCACTTCCGTAGGTTTCTGGGAGGTCCAGCGGATGGGAGGGCCCACGCATCCAGCCAGGATTTCAGTTTTTATCCCTTGACCTTTTGATCGTCTTCTACTTGTTTACGATTTAAGGCAGCAGGTGTGCGTACGCAAATGGGGAGCATTGAGAATGGTCCGACAGTCTTTGGCGAAGCTTTCAGGGTACAGCAGATCCGGATTTAACCGCGTCTTGTTTAGAAAGGGTTGGGTATATGTTTGGGTAGTTTGCCAGCAGCAGGGGGATTGCAGGATGATCAGGTGCCGAAGTGGAGGGAACACGCAGGGATTGAACAAATAGTACGAGGTCGGAGGTCCTCGCTTCCCGTCCTAATCTTCCTTCACCTCTCGTCTCCGTCGGGCCCATGGCGCAGGCCTTTGCCTTTCACACACCCGCCGCCCTCCTTGGCAGCCCGCCGCTCTCACAATGCCCACGGGCCTTCCAACAAAATTGGGCCAGAACGGGTGGGATAGAGGTTTTTGGAGAAGGACGAGGAGGGAGGGAAGAGGAGGGGGGCGAGGAGAAATCAAGGTTTGTGATCTGCTTGGGCCCTCCAGAGGCTGGAGGCATCTGGAGGAGCTCCAGGGACCTCCTGGTTCGTAGTACTGTGCCGTCCGAGGGATCGCGCCGCACCGCCAGTGCATCGGCATTGCGGCCGGATCTGGATCCTGATTATTCTCATCCCGACGTCGCCAGCGCACCGCCGATGCATCGGCGATGGCGCCCAACCTCACATGTTTTGGCCCAGTTCGTTTACAGTCGGGGCCCTGAACAAGGAACCCTTTTCGTTGGGGAGGGTCTCCGCGTTCCTGTTTCACAGCTTGCCTTAGGTTTTCCTTATGTTTTCGATCGGAAATCGAAGTTTAACTTATGGAAAAAAGGAGCCTCGTTTCTTATTTGGGGTTCCTTGGGTCAACGCCCCGACTGTACTGCACCACTTCAGGGATCCGAGGAAGCCTCCCCCCTTCTTCCTCTCCACTCGCCCCCGCTCGCCGGAGCCCCTCCTGAAGGCAGCACGCTCAGAGTTGGGAGCCCCACGTCGGCGAGCCGACGACGGCGCCGACGGCGGAGGGCAGACGGCGGACGCGCTCTCCGCGTCGGCCCTTGGCGGCCTTCAGCGGGGGGCGGCAGGGGGGGTGGATATCATGGCGGGGGCCACGATTTGTCCCCAGGTTTCATGGCGCCTCTTCTTATTTCATTACGTCCCTGGGGCCCCTGGTGGGCCGCGCACATGCCGCCGGTCATGAGTTGCACCCCCCCCTCTTGGACACCCCCCTCTTGGCCGCTCCCGATTCAGGCAGGACCTGGATGAATCGCTCCAGAGCGTTCCGGAACGCTCTCGGAGCGTTCAGGAGCGCTTTGGAACGGCCGCGGAGCCCGCTACGTCCTCCAGAACCGCCAGATCTCAGAGATCCCTGACGTGTCCCTGTCCGATTTTGCCCCAGTGATGGCTTCGCCTCACCGGTCCTGGCAGCCTCACCTTCGCGCGCCTGGCGGTTCCGCGCCCGCGCGGCCGCGGAAGAGACCCGAGGCGGGGCCGCTGAAGCCCGCGGCGGTGGCGCCCAGGGAGCTCGGGCGCTGAGGGCCGCCTGGGCGGGGTTGTTGCGCCCAGGCGCTTCCTTTTCCTCATG